CTAACCAAAATCCATATATTTAGATTTCGGCATTAAATAACCCATAGATGTTGATATGCCGCTAAACAAAATCAACTAACCAAAATCCATATATTTAGATTTCGGCATTAAATAACCCATAGAGGTGTTGATATGCCGCTAAACAAAATCAACTAAGCAAAATCCATATATTTAGATTTCGGCATTAAATAACCCATAGAGGTGTTGATATGCCGCTAAACAAAATCAACTAAGCAAAATCCATATATTTAGATTTCGGCATTAAATAACCCATAGAGGTGTTGATATGCCGCTAAACAAAATCAACTAAGCAAAATCCATATATTTAGATTTCGGCATTAAATAACCCATAGAGGTGTTGATATGCCGCTAAACAAAATCAACTAAGCAAAACCCATATATTTAGATTTCGGCATTAAATAACCCATAGAGGTGTTGATATGCCGCTAAACAAAAATCAACTAAGCAAAATCCATATATTTAGATTTCGGCATTAAATAACCCATAGAGGTGTTGATATGCCGCTAAACAAAATCAACTAAGCAAAATCCATATATTTAGATTTCGGCATTAAATAACCCATAGAGGTGTTGATATGCCGCTAAAAAAAATCAACTAACCAAAATCCATATATTTAGATTTCGGCATTAAATAACCCATAGAGGTGTTGATATGCCGCTAAACAAAATCAACGAAGCAAAATCCATATATTTAGATTTCGGCATTAAATAACCCATAGAGGTGTTGATATGCCGCTAAACAAAATCAACTAAGCAAAATCCATATATTTAGATTTCGGCATTAAATAACCCATAGAGGTGTTGATATGCCGCTAAACAAAATCAACGAAGCAAAATCCATATATTTGGATTTCGGCATTAAATAACCCATAGAGGTGTTGATATGCCGCTAAACAAAATCAACTAAGCAAAATCCATATATTTAGATTTCGGCATTAAATAACCCATAGAGGTGTTGATATGCCGCTAAACAAAATCAACTAAGCAAAATCCATATATTTAGATTTCGGCATTAAATAACCCATAGAGGTGTTGATATGCCGCTAAACAAAATCAACTAACCAAAATCCATATATTTAGATTTCGGCATTAAATAACCCATAGAGGTGTTGATATGCCGCTAAACAAAATCAACGAAGCAAAATCCATATATTTAGATTTCGGCATTAAATAACTCATAGAGGTGTTGATATGCCGCTAAACAAAAATCAACGAAGCAAAATCCATATATTTAGATTTCGGCATTAAATAACTCATAGAGGTGTTGATATGCCGCTAAACAAAATCAACGAAGCAAAATCCATATATTTAGATTTCGGCATTAAATAACCCATAGAGGTGTTGATATGCCGCTAAACAAAATCAACGAAGCAAAATCCATATATTTAGATTTCGGCATTAAATAACCCATAGAGGTGTTGATATGCCGCTAAACAAAATCAACTAACCAAAATCCATATATTTAGATTTTGGCATTAAATAACCCATAGAGGTGTTGATATGCCGCTAAACAAAATCAACGAAGCAATTATCTACCATATACTCAATTGTGAAAGCAGAATAACATATATTATATTTTTTATTACTTCAAAGCTCAAAAAAAATTAAATTTCGGCATTAAATGACCCATAACGGTGTTGATATGCCGTTAGACAAACAAATCAATCAATCGTTTATAGGTTTAATATCCGGGCTTTTTTGTACTCTGCATCAATTTCTACTAAATTTATAAAAATAAAAAATTGCCGAGGCGGAGATTTTGAATGTTGATTTTCAAGGGAAAATGAAGATTGGGACAACACAATTTTCTCATAGCCAACCCTCTCCACGTTTGTCTCTTTGCTATATTAGGCCTTTTTTAAAATATTTCTACAGCTAGAAATGGTTGGGTACTTCGACGTGATGTAATGGTTAACAATCTATGACGACTGAATAGTGAGTTCGGTTTTCTTTCGGTGTTCCATACTTTCGGCCTTTTGCCACATCTAAAATACGCTTAGAAAATCGTTAGATAGATAAATGTGTGTTTTTTTAATATCGGCAGAACACTGCATTTAGGTTTAAGCAGACCAGCCATCTCTGCAAAAGTCCAGTTGATTAAAATAGTTTAATAGACCCATTTTGTTGTATTCCTTAAAATATTAGGAAAAAAAATGATATTTTATTGTTTAACTTGAGTTTAGAAAAGTAATAGTCTCCACAATTAGAAAAAAGAAAAAAAAGAAGAAAAGAAAACTAGGTCGATGTCATACCACTCCTTTTGTAAAAAAAAAAAGATGGATGGCAGGACCCACCAAGTGGACATTATTCTTTCAAATCTTTTGCCGAAGTCAACGACAGAAAATGACGCATAATCGTCACGTACATTTTATTTAATTGGAAATTGATACACTTATTCGTAGATCCAACTTCTCAAAACTACTCTCTTCATACCTGCTGACTCGGCTGTTACAATTTACTGACCACAGACCTAGTCGGGGGGTCTGTAGCTATCTACAGTCTAATAAATGTTTACCGTCTTGCAGAATTTTCAAATATGAAGGCCTCACGACATTGCCATAGTTTGTTCCTGACTCATTTGGAAAAGCCAAAACTGCGACACATTGCCTGTTGGCTTGTCAGAAGCAGTACTAAGTACACAAAGTGATGTATCATTGTTTATCGGTGTGTGTAAAAGTATGTTCATGATTTTACAGACATTTTGGTAAAGTTGTGATATTTCACATGTCATCCCTTGTTGGGATATTTAATGTCGAGCGTTTGTATTGAACCCCAAGTGAGGACCAAGCTCACTGCTAATAAAAAAAACAGCATCGCTAACCATTAGATTCACGTTGAATTTCGCGCCAAAATATGATGATTCACTGGTTGATTTTACGGCATATCAACTCTTTATGAGTCATTTACTGTCGTGAGTGTCTTTTTTATTGACTGATGCTTAAATCGTTTTTGTTCTAAAAGAATGAAATAAAGGCAATCTTGGACCTTCGTGCTCGAAAAAAAAATGCTATGTCAAAATGCCGGTTTTTCCCTTGACGCCGCCATTGCTTAAACTACCTTCACTCCTCAGCATCGTTTTAAAAAGTGATTATTTGAAATTCAATAAAACCTAAACATTTGAAAGTGAATTTACACATCTTCTTTGTTCTTGAGAAAACAAAAATATTAAACACTATTTATTATATTGTTTATTGGAATGGTTGGTAAAACATCATCTAATTGCCAATTGATTCGAACTTTATAAAATGGTAAATAATAATAAAGATTTCATTATAGTTGTTTCACATATTTTTATACTTTAATAAATGTTTATAAATTTATGAATAAAAAATTGCTTTCGCATTTATTTCTTTATAAATTGGTAAATGATAAATATTGCATTAGTTTTAATTGTATTTATTTTTAGAATGGTACAAATATAAAATTATTCTTGTAAATGAACAATCGAATAAATAAATAATTATTAATAAATAATATTTTTGTTGTAAATTCCCAAGAACAGGGCAAAAACGTCTTTTTGACCCACAGTTTTTTGTTGTTTTTTATAGACACTAGTATCCAAGGTTACTGAAATAAGTATATAGATAAGAACGTTTCAGGAATAAGTTTTTTCTTTCTGTAGAGAAATTTTATAGGCTTTATTTTGATGACATTGATTTTGTTTCGCTCATATATTGATCTAAAAATTGTATGTATTATTATTCTCTTTTTGTTTGTTTTTTGTATTGTATGTACATTCATATTATATATATATATATATATGTGTGTGTGTGTGTGTGTGTGTGTGTGTCTGTGTGTGTGTGTGTGTGTGTGTGTGTATGAATGTATGTGTGTGGATGTATGAATGTGTGTGTATGTGGATGTATGAATGTGTGTGTGGATGTGTGTTTGTCGATGTGTGTGTGTGTGTGGATGTATGCATGTGTGTGTGTGGATGTATGTGTGTGTGTGTGGATGTATGGATGTGTGTGTGGATGTGTGTGTGCGTGTGGATGTATGTGTGTGTGTGTGGATGTATGGATGTGTGTGTGGATGTGTGTGTGCGTGTGGATGTATTAATATGTGCGTGTGTGGATGTATGAATATGTGTGCGTCTGTGTGGATGTACGAATGTGTGTGTGTGGATGTACGAATGTGTGTGTGTGGATGTATGAATGTGTGTGTGTGGATATATGAATGTCTGTATGTATATATGAATGTATATTTGCGTATGCATGAATGTATATATGTGTATATATACATATATATGAATGTATTTGTCTGTGTGTATGAATATATATATATGTGTGTGTGTATGCATAAATGAATGTGTGTGTGTGTGTGCGTGCGTGGAATATGACTTCTATAAATGTATATTGTATATCATATTTTAGTGTATACGTAAATCTTTAACAATTTAAAAATGTTCAGATTGATCCACTGAAAAATTCGCATTAGAATTTTGGACTAAAATCGATTCAGCCAATATATAAGACCGACATGATAGCCAACAGGAATGTATTTGAGGTGTCGCCAACCGTTTTTTTTTAGTTTATTTATTTATTTTATTTATTTATTTATTTTGTGTATGTGGGGGGGGGTCTTTCTTCTTTTGATCCAAGATTGAAAAGAATAAAATTGCTCAAAATAACCTCAAAGCTGCTATTCAACGACTTCTCATCATTCTTGACGTTTCTATCATCAGGTTTTGAGGAAGTTTAAAAAGCAACAAAAAAAAAAGAAAAAAAAACATGGCGGAAATAATCCTTGCATAAGACGAACGAAAGAACCGCATCTCCAAATTTAGGCAAAATCGGCCAAAGGATTTGTTCGTATGAACTAGTCGCAAAGCCATGATCTGAGTTAAAATAAATCCAAAGAAGGATTTGAAAAACAAAACAAACAAAAAAACAAAAAACGATGAAATTGAGGTCAGCAAAATGTCAGAAGAATGCCCTCCACCTACCACTCCGAGTTGACATTGAACGATCTTTTGATGACATTGAGCAAAAGACGACGTCAGTAAAGAGGAGATAATATCAAAATGAACTGAAAGGTGAGAAGAAAACACGAGCGACGGGTCTATGGACTCCGGTGTCTGGGGGTTCGTTTCAATAATAGAGAGAGGACGAGAACTGAGAAACAGGTGATATGAAAAAGACAGGACATTCGGGTGGGGAAGAACTGTGGAGAGGCTTGATACAGTGTGTGTGTGTGTGTGTGTGTGTGTGTGTGTGTTTTAAGTTAAAAGAATATACGATACCTTCAGAAGAAAAAAACATAAGAAATGTTGGCAAACGAGGGTAAGAAATTCGAAGGCTGAAGTAAGAGTAGATTAGAGAAATGAAAGGGAATGGTCGGAGAACCATGAAAGAAAAGTAGGAATATAATTGTAAGGAAAAAAAGAAAATAAAGAGGCTTGAAAAGATAGACGCACTGATGTTTCTTTTTATTTTTTTATTGGCTATCAACCTTTTACAGGTTATTTAAAGCCAGAAATTATTATTTTTTAGGGGGGGGAATAATCATGATTTGCTAATTAACCCATAGCTGGTATGAGAATAGGTGGATTCTTACGTTTTCCAAGGGTATTTGCACATAAGTGAATACAATAAACCCGGCTGGGATTGGAACTCTGCACTCCAAATCTCAATTCCGTGTCTTTATCCATTACACCAACTGCATATTTAAGGTTACAGCGACTGGTATTCCGAAGCGGTCATCCCTCTAACTACTGACAATCTTCGACATTGCTTAACTTCGGTAATCGTAGAAACAATGTTTCAACGTGGTGTCGTCGTCCTCAGAGGCAATGTAGGATTTATTTTGTTGCACGTGTTTATATACAAAAGCAAGGAGGTCATTGGTTTACCAAGGTTTTCAAATTTAAGAATGTTCATGAGATTGAGAAAAAAGCCAGGGCGTAGATTTTCGAGAAATTTCTTTTTTTAAATTACCTTCTCTTTTGATTAGTAATTTAATCAGAAATAAAATTGAATCTTATATATATATATATATATATATATATATATAAGATTCAATATATATATATATATATATATATATATATATATATATAAGATTCAATATATATATATATATATAAGATTCAATATATATATATATATATATATATATATTCAAATGCGGTAAATGTTGTTTAATAATGTTTATTATAAATATTTGTATCTATAAAAAGAATGTATAAACATAAAATGTCTTAAAAAATATATATATATATATATATATATATATATATATATATGTGTAGTAATCCGTTGGTATAATCCAGGCGCGTACTATTAACATATATTTCGAAATACGGTAAAACTGACTAACTACCCAGGTTCTCTTACCCCATAATATAATTCATGTAATAGTGCCTTCTTCTACCATATCTCCCCCGAAAACGCCATCTTTCCCTTTCTTTCCCCCAACCAGTATCTCACTACAAACTGATATCGTAAACAGTTTGAATAATCCTGCAATTTTAAAATTCAAATTCGTAAGTGAAAATTGTCATTAATTAAAAGTATCTCAATTCCAATTGTTAAGTAACTATATATATATATATATATATATATATATATATATATATATATATATATATATATATATATATATGAACATTGAAGTCAACATTTAGAGGTGACAGGCTGTTTCATGCTCGACGCAATCGTGAGCCCTGCCTATAGCCTCTGAGCGTTGACTTCAATGTTCACTTTTATATTTACACGCTCTATCTCTGATATTGAGCACTTTATCCCATAAATATAGCACACCTTAAGAGTATATTTCTTCATATATATATATATATATATATATATATATATATATATATATGAGATAACGATATATTTTTTAAGCCGATGATGTCCTGAACTTTTTCAAGTCCTGAAATTTTCCAATTTGTTATAGATTTTCCACACACACACACACACACACATATATATATATATATATATATATATACCCGGCCACTCGTATTGGAGGATACCCCTCTACTAGGGAGGCTAGTCAATCCCTATTGCAGACGTTTGCTCAGGTATATTTGTGTTTGTTCAACACCCACAGAGCCCACCTGTGGTTTATATCGAGCAGACTTTAGATATAGTTTTTGGGAGAGAAAGCGTGTTATCTAGCGTGATCAACAATTTCATCAAGGCTAAATTTGATCATATATATATATATATATATATATATATATATATATATATATATATATATATATATATATATAATATTAGAGGAACGACCTTAACACAACCAGGATAAGAAGGCAAAAAAGGTGATTTTCAGTGAAAGAAAAATGGATGGGGAGGATTTAAATGTATGTGATATGGATGACTCTCCAAATATTAGGTTCGGGGTAAGACCCTGAGAAAAAGGCCGATTTATCGCGCGCAAAGGTAAACTGGTTGGAAAAGCTGAACGTGGGGCCGTTTTGAAGGCGGGTCTCAATAATAACAAAGCCACACGCACAAAAGCAAGAAAAGAAGAACCCATTTTTGTTTGCCTCCAGTGAAAGGTAAAGAGACTGGGATAAAAGGATAACAAAAACGAAGCAGAGTAGGTGACCGGCCGAATACAAACGTGAAAAGAAACACGAAAATACGCCGTGCCACAGTGGATCTGTTTTGTTTTTCAATCGTCTTAAGGGCGTCTTAAAAATGTGAACATATTCTTCCTGCTTCAAAAATCCGTTGTGGCTGGGAATCGCCGGTTATGGAGAAGAGTAATTTTATACTCGACAAAATGGAAAACTAAATATCATCTCCTTTTTGTATCTGTCTATATTTCTGAGATGAGTTATTATGTATATGATTTACATTATTCGGACTATTGTCCTCATCTTTGTCGCCATATTTATTACAACGTTTCGGCCTTTCAGCATCTGTCTATATTTCTGAGATGAGTTATTATCTACATTATTTACATTATTCGGACTATTGTCCTCATCTTTGTCGCCATATTTATTACAAGGCTCCAGCCTTCTTCGGGTGATTGGAATGTCGAACTGAACCCTTTATTTCGCTCACTGTGGCAGACTGTTCTAGTTCCACTTGCCATGTTTAATGGATGTCAGTTATCAGTTATCTCCTGTTAATTTCCCTCTGAAAGTTCTCCACTGCCTTAACAGGGTATTGAACTCACGTTCTTTGCGTCCTGTCACTGTGCCATGTGTCCTTGTGGATAGGACGCAAAGTGGGTAAAGACGTTAGTTAGATCCAGTGACTGCCGTTTGTCATAACGCTTCCCAGACATTATTCACACTATTTAAATTCAGCTTATGGTCCGTGCCTTCTCGTGCAATCACCAGAGTTAAGCAACGTCGAATCTGGTCAATTCTTAGATGGGTGACCGCTCGGGAATATCAAGAGCTATAAGCTGGGATGCGCGAGAGGTGGAATAGATAACGGCTCGCAATTGGAAATCGGAGAGACGAGTTCCAATTCCAGTCGGGTTCCTTATATTCCGTGATGTGCAAATACCCTTGGGAAAGGTAGGAATACACTTCTTCTCCCCAACTATGGGTTAATTAGGAACAGTAACACATTATTATTTTTTTTAAGTTCTCACAATCTAAAAATCTATCTGGATTGAAATAACTTGCAAAACCTTATATATATATATATATATATATATATATATATATATATATATGTGTGTGTGTGTGTGTGTATAATTAAATAATGTGTTTAATATAGCAGTAACTTGTAGCAGTAACTCATTATTATTTTTTAAATTCTTACAATCTAAAAATCTATCTGACTTGAAATAACTTGCAACAGGTTAAAATATATATATATATATATATATATATATATATATATATATATATATATATGTATATATATATGTATATATATATATATGTATGTATACATATATATAGATATATATATATATATATATATATATATATATATATATATATGTATGTATATACATGCATGCATATATATATATAATATATATATATATATATATATATATATAATTAAATAATGTGTTTAATACTTTATTACTGGGCTTTATTCTGGTAGAGGTAACATACGTAAAGCTTTCAATATACAATTGTTACAAGACCTCCCACAAACGTTGCAGGAAACGAAATGATTTGCCCTCCCTCAGAAGTGGAATACTGCCTGTGCATTGCCCAGTAAGTCGTTAGCTGTACGGATCTGTGGTAGTATGTTTTCTGTTGGGATTTCCCTCTCCTAAACTGGTGCCGAAGCCGGATGTAGGAATCTTCCCCTTCTCTCAAGGAACATTCCTTTAGTAATTGTTATCTAATTAGATTGGCGGTCTTTTTCTGGGTTCGTCTGACTGGAATTTCTTTCGCGATGTTTTTGCTTACTATTATTACGTTTTAACTTAGCATAGCTTCATCAGGTCTTTTCCCTCGTCCTCTTCCATCGTTGGTCCTTCCATCTGTCACCAGCCTAGAATTCAGGTGACAGTTTCCAGTTTGTTCATATACTAGATAGCCGCTTTGTGAGTTAGACAGGTCTAGTATAAAGCATTACTATTAGTGATAGTAAGAGTAATACAAAAGAAGAAATAATTATTATTGTGGCTCCGTTTTTTATTCCTCTGTCGATTTAAAGAATACAGGTTTTTCTTCGAAATCAACAATAGCATTATTCGCATAGACGATCTTGTTAACCATTATTCTATATCGAAATGCCACGTATTTATTTAAATTAGTATATATATATATATATATATATATATATAGATAGATAGAGAGAGAGAGAGAGGGTGTCCATTGAGTTCGTGTGCACTTTAAAATATTTATAAATTTATTTATATTTGCGAGAGAAGTAATTTCTAAAAAGGATTAGAAAGAAGTAAATCTATATTTTTTAAGGTTTTATTGAAATTTTATTTAAATTTCCACATGCACTCCATCATTAGCAATACAAAGGGTAATACAGTTTTGCAGTTCACGGAAAACTTTTACCAACTGATTTACAGTAATGCCTGAAATCACATTAGTTATTTTAGCTATACTTAAAAATAGGTAAATTAAGCCTTATAACATTTTTAACAGATTATTTCTATCGCAAATACAAATAAAGTTATAAATTTTTTAAAGTGCACAGCTGGGCTGGTACAAAATGATTTTAACCTATTCTCTTTCTAGCTGAATAACTCAAAGGATTTTTCAGTGATTCTTGCGATAAATTGTGTCAAGATGGCTAAACGTCTTATTTAAAAACCTGGAAAAAAGAATGTCAATCTAGTGTTTTTTTCTTTTCTTTTTGTTTTCTTTTTGTTTTGTTTTTTTTTTTCAAATGTTAAACATTTTGTAGGAGTGGACATTTTTGCTGTTATACCCATTATATATATTGTGAAGCAAATGAATGACAAAGTGGGAAAATATATATTAATTCTTTCACGACACTTTTGTTGATACCAATCAGTTTGCAAACAGACCGCTCGTCAGGGTTACCAAGGTACAGAGAACACCAGCTATTTATGCAACGATGGAAGAACTGAAGGTCTTGAGAACTTAAGATGCAAACGCTTTTAAAACATTAATGATTTCAAAACGAGTACCCTTCAAAAATTTAAGGTTAGGAAATTTAAAAAGTCAGAAAATGCTAAATAAGATGGATGCTTAATGATTACTCGGTGAAGTTCTCGCGATGTTTTTTTTTATTTGATGAGAGGAACGAGAAGTGAGATTGTCGCGGTGGAAATTGATTCTCTGACGAGGATTTCCACAGCGATTTTTTTTCTTTTTAGCTAATTTTCTCAAAACACTTTCGTTATAAGCAGATGTTAGTGACTCGGAATTTAAGAATATACCGGAATGTCGAAAAGAATATGGTCCGAAATGTCGTATTTATAAACAACAAAGATGAAGACAATCGTTGAAATAATATGCAGAGTAATGGAAATTCTCCGTCTTATTTCCAGCGTTCACAAGACTAAAATATCTCATTTTTTTTTCTTCTTCATTTTCCTTGACTTTTTTTTTTTTGGTCTACGAGTCTTTACCGTCAACAAAAACCCACTTCTGCTTGCTTTATTTATCCTAATTTTGCTTCTAACAAAAAAAAAAAAAGTAAAAAAAATAAAAAGGGAAGAGCCTTTTATGGTCGGGCTTAATTTTTTCAACCTCCCAAGTCTTGTTATTTAATTTGACTGTTTTTTGTTTGTTTGTTTGTTTATATTCTTTTTCTTTTTCCTTTTTTTTTTTTAATTGCGCTAACTGACTCAATCGTGACTGTTTTTAGAGAAACCTGGGAGGTTGGGGACGGACAAAAATGTAAATATTATTTTCCAGATGGGGAGCGCGGGTAAATGTAAATATCTTAAGCTGTAATGATTTTTTTTCTCTCTCTCTTTTTAAGACCAAGGTAACAAAATAACGAGACTGCTGTTTTCAAAAAGAAAACAGAAAGGATCAGAGCTGTATTTGCTTTACTTTCGAGGTGATCATGTCAAAAAGTAAAACTTCCGGTAAAAAATAATGATTTTATAAGAATATCCCAATAGACGAGTATGAAATAAAACCGATACAATAGTAGAAATATTAATATCAGATATTTTCTAAGTCCACTGCGAGACTCGGACCTTCTCTACTGTCTTTCAGCCATGAGGAGTAAAAATCCCTATTCTGATACTCCACGACGACTAGGCCGAGAGTTTGATTTTAGATTTGCTCGTCTTCTAAACACGTGGCGCTCTTGAGACCAGTGGCAAGCCTACCGTGGGTAGAAGTTCTTCCATTTTCCAAAGATATTAATGCGAAATGAGAAATGAAACCTCAATCTGAATTTAAATTCAGTCTGCCAAGTCGACACACACAAATACACACTAATATATATATATATATATATATATATATATATATATATATATATATATATAAAGAAATATAGTCTTAAGGTGTGCTATATTTATGGGATAAAGTGCTCAATATCAGAGATAGAGCGTGTGTAAATATAAAGTGAACACTGAAGTGAACATTTAGAGGCGACAGGCTGTTTCATGCTATATGCAATCGTCAGGCCTGACGATTGCATATAGCATGAAACAGACTGTTGCCTCTAAGTGTTGACTTCTATGTTCACTTTATATATATATATATATATATATATATATATATATATATATATATATATATATATAATGTATTTTGGGGAGCAACCTTTCTTTTAAACATACTTTATTAAATATTTCAGAAAAGTGAGATTTAATTAGCTTTTTTTCATTTAGTTTCTCCAGCATCCTTACGTTTTCCGTTTTGTATGAGTAAGGGAGTACACAAAATTTACATAATTTTGATTGTCCAAAAGCGCTTTCATATATATATATATATATATATATATATATATATATATATATATATATGTGTGTGTGTGTGTGTATGTATTTATTATAATTTTTTCATATGAGCAAAAACAATTTACTCACTACAACGATGCAACTTTGTTTCGGTGCATTTAGTTGCACCTCTACTGGTGAGAACGAAACTAGTTTTGTCTATATGTAAAAATTATAATAAATAATTATTGCTCTACTATCGGCATTGAGCCCTCTTTTGAATTGATTCTGTGACCGTCAGCTGACGATCGCGATAGCGTGAAACTTAAGTAATGTTTTTTGCTCTGTCTGAATACATGAGAAAAGTTGTATATTAAAATTTGGGTAACTCACACAGAAAAAGAGAATGTCGCATATCGAGATTATTTAACATCGAAAAACATAAGAAAAGAATTAATTATTTTTAATAAGATTTGGAAATCTCCCTCTTTTGGCTGATGACGGTCGCAAGACCGGAAACACGTGTAGCAAATATATGGAAAGCAAAATTATGGAAAATAAAGCATAATATTTTTTTTAAATCCACTTTACAACCAAAAACATTTGCGGTTTCTCTCCTATTTTTTTATATATATATATATATATATATATATATATATATATATATATATGAATGATTATATTGAGGAAAATATGTGACAAAGTGGAAAATGTTCAATTGTGATGCGTTTCGTCTTTCAGGATTTGATCGGACTAAATTTGTTATGCATTTTCCCCAGTATTGTTCTTGATATATAAAAGTATATGCCGTTATCTCATAAGAGATAGAAAGTGAGAGAGAGAGAGATAGAGATAGAGAGCGTGTACATAGGAATAAGCCCTGATTTTACCTAATCAGGAAGCCCCAAGAACAATTCGGTCGAATCAGTGAAAAATGGAGAATAATAGGTAGGGAAATAATGTCAATGACTAATATCAAAATTTAGGACAATAATAGTAAAGATATATAGATATTTTCCCTATTTTTCACACTTTATATCAGCAACATATGAATACTTTTTTCTAGTTATATATTCCTATACGCACGCATACTTTTTTTAATATAGATAGATAGTTTGAGAGAGAGAGAGAGAGAGAGAGAGAGAGAGAGAGAGAGAGAGAATAATGTCTGAACGCTTATACAAACTACAAAACCTCGCTTTTCATACCAAACCCATCTATTTTATTCAAAACATTTTTTCAACAAATAAGTTAAAATCCATTTATATTTCATTCTAACGCTCTTTAATTAATTGTCGGCTGTCAACGGATCTCTTTTCTCATTACTTCAAACATTCACTCAGTACCGAACACTTTTTCTTTATTTGATTTTATGGTTATGTCTTTCCGGTCATGCGCAGATAAGCACAGACAATTCGAGGATATATTTAGCATGTTCTCCGAATATTCCATATTAGTAGTTATGATAGTGGGCAAGAAGCCTTAGGTTCAATATTCCAGATATAGTCAATGTAGCTTGATTTATATTATTTACATGTGATCTATTGTCCTCATCTTTGTTGTTATTATCACAACGTTTCGGCGGTTATGCTCACATCAAGTGCTTGTCGATCCAGAAGAGCCAAGTGGATTAAAGCGTTGTTTCGTGAATTTGGTGACATAGTAATTGTGAGTTCAATACCTTGGTCGGGCAGTGTGTACTTGGACTCAGCGGAAATATAGCGAGCAATAACTGAGCAGTATTAAATTTTCTGAGGCAGGGTCAGTGGAACGAGAAAACGATATCATCGTAGTCTGATAATCATCGGCGCGGATTCCAGCCCTGGTCTTTTTGTTCCTATTCGCTAAAAATCCCTGTGAAAGGTATAATTCCATTTTGCTCCCTTCAGCTATGGGTTAAATAATAGAGCAGAATGGAATCTTTAATCTAGTAATTATCGGCGCGGACTCCAGCCCTGGTTTTTGTTTTCACATTCGCAAAAAAATCCTTGTGAAAGGTATAATTCCATTTTGCTCCCTTCAGCTATGGTTTAAATAATAGAGCAGACTGGAATTTTTAGTCTAGTATTTATCGGCGTGGATTCCAGCGCTGGTCTTTGTGTTCACATTCACCAAAAAATCCTTATGAAAGGTATGATTACATTTTGCTCCCTTCAGCTATGGGTTAAATAATAGAGCAGACTGGAATCTTTAGTCTAGTAATTATCGGTGCGGATTCCAGCCCTGGTCTTTGTGTTCACATTCGCTAAAAAAAAATCCTTGCGAAAGGTATGAATCCATTATTCCACTCGGACTATTGTCCTTATCTTTGTTGTTTTCACAACGTTTCAGCCGTTGTGCTCTCGTGTCTTCATTAGGTGCTTGACGATCCTTCAGGAAAATTTCGAACTGAACCCTTTAGTCTAGGTTGCAAATCAAGGCTAGAGAGTCCAGTGTGTTGTATTATTTAACCCATAGCTGAAGGGAGAAAATGTATTCATACCTTTCGCAAGGATTTTTTAGTGAATGTGAACACAAACACCAGGGCTGGAACCCGCACCGATAATTATTAGGGTTCATTCCTGCAGATTGACACAGAGCATAAGCGACACTGCTCTTAAACTGACATATCTGTTCGAGGAAGTGGAGTTATGCTTTTCCCAAGGGTATTAGTGCGTAATAAATACCAAAAAAAGTCACAACCGGAATTTGAATCCAGTTTACTGATTCCATTTTCTGCACCCCCTAAAATTTTTTCCTGTCCATTAATATAAAAAAAAATGATTTAGGATGTTAACCCCTTCACGACATTTGAACTCGAGTGCTCTATCATTGGAAACCAAGATGATAACTCGCTGATTTGGCTTTGCACACCAATCAAAAGCCGATTTTATATGTATCCATATATTCATATTCCTCTTCATCCACACCATTCTTCATAGTGTTTGTTACAGGGAAGCTGGATTCGGTTACATGTAGTAAATTAAGTCATATCTGAAAGCCCCCTGCGTTACTAAATCTTTTTTTCTCATTTGTCACCAAGGTTAGCCAAGCATATTTTTAAAGAGTAAGCCCAAAAGTCGCAAGTCGCGAAATCAAAAATACACTAGTGTAGAGATTTCCCCATCGACGCCAATCTGGAAGCCTTTTTGTTGCTAACCTAAAACAGTCAAATTGTCTTAAATTCTCTTAATTTCTTAGGACGAAACTAACTCTCACCATTAAGCAGATGTCAGATTTTATTATGCAAATCAATGTATTCGCAATAAAATTAGTCTTAACCAAAGAATGTTGGTAAATTTTTTAAGATATACACTAAAAAGTTTGAATCCTCCCTCTGGGTTTAATAATTAGTAAGTTTCATAACTTCTTTCCTTTAACTCACACCTGCTCACCTAGGATGCTGAAACTATATAAACCATTAGAGTATAGCATCCAATTTCTTTGTTACCTAACGTTTAAACGAAGGCAGAAGATTACTATTCGCTAACAAATTAGATAAGGTAAAAAGAGATAAAACTTTAAATGAATGTTATGCAGTCATGGGATAATTTCGTTATTATTATTATTATTATTATTATTATTGTTATTGTAGTAGTAGTAGTAGTAGTAGTATTAGTAGTAGTAATAATAAAAAACCGACCTGAAATATTAAATTACCGTATCTGACGGCATATAAGACGTATGGGTGTATAAGACGCACCCCAATTTCAGCAGGGAAAATCAAGAAAAAATTAGTTATTAGTAAAATTAGTAATTAGTAAAATTAGTGATTAGTAAAATTAGTAAATGGTACAGCCTAGGCTATATTTATGAGGTATTATTTTGGTTAAACAAGCCATGATTATAATTAAACGAAAATAATAGGGAAAAAAGAACACAAGCTTATAAAAACTTTATAATATTCAAAGGTAAGAAAAATAAAATGAAAATCAAGTAATTATTACAATTGAGCAAAACAGTACAGTTACCATTAAAATTTTATTCATTTTCAAATCCATAAAATTCGTCGTCTTCTTTATCAAAACTCTGATACTCATTCTCCATAACACTATCATCGTCGTTAAATAATGCGCCATCTTACGTTTCATTGTGAGCATTGCTAATGCCACACTTTTTAAAAGATTTCACAATTTCTGGTCTAATATTATCCCAAGCTTGCTTCACTATTTCGCAGACTTGTGCAATGCTGGGCCTTTTTATTCTTTCTGTAAGGGTAATGTCTTGATTAGGCATTGCCATCCACGTGTTCCATTACTCCTTCATGTTTAAGTCTAAGATAATAGGAGTTGCCAGGTAGCTAATTTCGGCCGACTATCGCGAATTTTAAACCTCCATATAGCATATATGACGCAGAGGAATATCAAGATATTTTTGTAGAAAAAAAAAATGCGCCTTATATTCCGTTAAATACAGTAGTTTTGAAAAAGATACGCAACCTTAATTTTTAGGCGGTTCTTTAAAATCTATAGGGTGATCCCAAAACTTTGGTCTGTAGTGTATTTATAAAAAAATATATCATGTAAAGGTCATTTTATTATTTCTGTCCATATAAAAAATATTTGTAATAACTTGAAAGAAAATGCCGGGTTTTATTATGCAAAAGGCAACACAAATTTTATTTATTAATTACTCCAAGAGATATAGAATACAGAAACCTATATTTGATACAGACAATATTCCATATCCTTGAATAAACTATGATTTTACATGTTAATATAATCTCGTTGATATTTTATATACTTTATCAATCTTTCAGTCATTGACTTTGTTGCAGCAGTTTTTTTGTTTGTTTTATCACTTTCCAAAGATCTTCTCCTCGGTAATGTTTCTCATCTACGTCTCTTTAAAAGATTGACGAAAAGTTTTCGATTGGATTAATATTCTGAGGGTTTAGGGTGACATTGCACAAATTTGGTGTTATTTAAACCTAATATGTCCCAGAAAGGGATATATTTGTTCGAAGTAGCAAAGTGCTTTTCGACTACTCTACGGGTAGAAGAATCTAGCAGGTGACCGTAATGGACTGGTCCTAGTCGTAGTGGTAGGCAATAGGCGTAGGCAATAGGCGAAGACAATAGACGTAGACCATGTACCTTCACATCAGTCTGTATTTATGGCTGACACCAGCTAATCATATTACTGTGAGGGGGAACCCAGGTGTATGCATATTCATTACATCAAAACCTTTTTTCCAAGATGAGCAATAGTCAGCTTTTGCCCGAATAAGAAGGTTCATTGCCTTATAGCGTTTTGCTTGTGACGTAGACCAATAAAAAAAAAACAGTCTTGCCCAAGAAGTTGCAATAATTTTCTGTATTCATCAGCATGCCATCGTCAACATTGGGGGGTCCTATAATTATATTGCAGATATTTTACACACCCAACACTTTACGCTATTCCTTCTGACGTCTTCTAAATTATATTGGTTGAATATTTCTATTTAGGAGTAAACATTTCTCACAGACATTAATTCAATATTCATCCATCACTAAAAATTACTGTTAAAACTGCTTTCATGTCTTTCTACGCTTAACTTACACGTTTCTCGGCTACTACTACTACCACAACTACTACTACTACCACCACTACTGCTACTACTACCACAACTACTACTACTACCACCACTACTGCTACTACTACCACAACTACTACTACTACCACCACTACTGCTATATGAACAGCAACAACCACAACATGAAAGATAAGCTTTTTTATAATTTAATTATCAATCTGCTTCATCTAGGAAATTCGGGCAACTGAAAAATGTTATATTTGCTACTTCTACTAATACTACCAGATAAAAAGTAAAACTTAAGTGGTGCAATGTAAGTTAACGAGACAAGTTTTTACCAATATAACTGAGTAGTGAGTTAGATCCTCACTGGGTGCCACAGAACATTCGACATGAAATAAACAAACAAGACTTGAATGCAATGAAATCAAATAATCCGACATTTGAAACACCTCAGCGCAAGGAGTAGAGAGGCTATACTGTTTGCAGTTTGACCATAACTACTAAATAGTGAGTTCGATCCTCACTGAGTGCCCCATACGAAATTCGACATTAGATAACCCAACAAGGCTTGAATGTCGTAAAATCTAGTAATTGAGACGCCTTAGCGTGGCGTAAGGGATAGTCTGATTGAACATTACTACTAAATAGTGAGTTCGATTGTCACTGGGTGCCCCATAAGAAATTCGAAATTAAATAACCAAACAAAGGTTGAATACCGTAAAATCAACCAATCCGACATTGGAAGTGACTTTGCGCGGCCAAAGTGGTAGCGAGCATTACTCCTAATGTTCGATTTTTACTTGGTACCCTATCCAAAATTCGGATTGACATGTAAAAGACCTAAGAAAAATAAGATTAAAAATAACCTTGTCTAAGTTTGTTAGGAAAGCAATACATTGAAGAAAATCAGATAACTTAAGAATAGAAACTGTTCGAAAGACAATCTCATTTTCTGAACATTGAAAACTAAATGCGTGTAAATAAAAAGAAGGCAACAAAGTAAGACAGAAATGTAAATAATTCGGAATGAAACGCTTCAGAGCAACTGAGACGGATAATTAGAAATCCAATTCAAAAGAGGACAACGACGATGGGGAGGGGGAGGAAGAATGTACGCACTATTAATATCAAAAGCACCTCGTGTGCCTTTCATTGTTGAGCCATCCTTTTAATGGCGGTATTTCAGAGGTGGGGGGGGAAGAAGTTTGTAATATTATGCATATCTTTTGACCTGATGAGATATTTAGAGCTGTTCGCACCTATTGGGAGCAGTGACTTTTTCTACCTCCCCATGAATCTATTTCAATTCTTCCTTCTTTCATATCTATCTCAATCTATTCCTATCTATCTATCTATCTATCTATTTCAATCTGCTCCTATCAATCTCAATCTGTTCCTATCTATCTATCTATCTATCTATCTATCTATCTATCTATCTATATATCTCAGTCTTTTCATATCTATCTATCTATCTATCTATCTATCTATCTATCTATCTATCTCAGTCTTTTCATATCTATCTATCTATCTATTTATCTATCTATCTATCTTCATCTATCTATCTATCTATCTATCTATCTATCTATCTATCTATCTCATCTGTTCATCTATCTATCTATCTCAGTCTTTTCATTATCTATCTATCTATCTATCTATCTATCTATCTATCTCATCTTTCATTATCTATCTATCTATCTATCTATCTCAGTCTATTCATTATCTATCTATCTCATCTTTTCATTATCTATCTATCTATCTATCTATCTATCTATCTCAGTCTTTTCATTATCTATCTATCTATCTATCTATCTATCTATCTATCTATCTATCTATCTATCTATCTATCTCAGTCTTTTCATTATCTATCTATCTATCTATCTATCTATCTATCTATCTATCTATCTATCTCAGTCTTTTCATTATCTATCTATCTATCTATCTATCTATCTATCTATCTATCTATCTATCTCAGTCTTTTCATTATCTATCTATCTATCTATCTATCTATCTATCTATCTATCTATCTATCTAAGTCTGTTCCAATGTATATGCAGATATGTATATTTTGAGTCTGAAAATGTTTATAAGGCACTATTCAACCTTGATTGATCATCGACACACTTCGAGACCGAGGTTGTAGAAAGCACTTCGGATCTAACAACGGCTTCTTCTGTCCAGGGGGACGCAAGTTCGAATTCTGCTGGATAGTGCATATTTTTCTTTAATAAGATTTCTCGAATATTTATGTCGGTAGACGAAAATAAATAAATCTACTGTTTAATAAATAAACGGAGCGTCTACTTAGATATGGGTATCCACTAAAAATAATACTTAAGTAATAAAATCTGAAAGATTAATAAATAAGAATCCATCACTTCTTCAGAATTTGTTTTGTTTCTGTTAGGATAAGAAACTTAAAATATATATATATATATATATATATATATATATATATATATATATATATAATTCATAAATTACAAGCTATCTGTCTGTCTGTCTGTCTAACTCGTTCTGTTTCTATCCATTTTCAGTTTTTCGGATCTATTTCAGTCTCAGTATATTCAATTCAGTCTATCTATTATTTACTTCCATCTGTCGCATTGTGAGATTTGACAGGCTTTTGTCTATAAACGTTTTTAGTGCAGGAAAGAAAAAAAGAAAAAGATGAAAGCAATAAACAATAAATTGGTTGTTTTTATTCTGAATCATATTGCCGTCCTGTATATGACGATAAACAACATCCGCGTCCTGGGTAAGACGATAAACTACATCCGACAGAATGGTCTTTGATCAGGAGTTTTTGAGGAGCGTGGAACCACCTTTTAATTGCTGGCATTCCCAGGTCCACCCTGACCAGGGGTGGTAGCACCTGTTAGGGTCTCATCTATGGACAAATAGTTAATCTCCCAAACTGGGGTCAAAACGTGTAAAAGTTGGTTTTAATACGAGCAAAACATTTTTGTAAAAAATTATTACCAGCAATGAATTTTTGAAGAAAAAATTATTACCAGCAATATATTATTACCAGCAATACTTTTTTCGAAAAAATATTACCAAAAATACTTTTTGAAAAAATATTAATTATCATCAATGAAAATCTTGTCGGCATTAAATAACCCATTGAGGTTGATATACCGTAAAACAAAGCAAACCAAACTAAACCTGATTACTCTTTTATCTTTCCACTCATTATTTATGTTTCTGTTCTTAATTCCTCCACACACTGTATCCCCTTGTGTCTTAGTGGCTTTCTTGCCTTGCCTAGGGTGATACCGATTAAAAAAGATTCCATTTTTGTATATTTACTGAATTCATTTTCTATCCTTATGCAGGCAGTTTGCTGCCAGTATAAGTTCTGGATTATTCTAATATCCTTCCCAAACTAGTGTTGAAAAAATATTACCATCAATGAAAATCTTGTTGGCATTAAATAACCCATTGAGGTGTTGATATGCCGTAAAACAAACCAAACCAAACTGAATCATATTGTGAATATATCTCTATAATTTTCTTTGTAGAGAAAAGAAAAGTAAAGAAAAAAGAAAGAATATGATTAATAGAGAAAGATTGAAAGTTACTGTGGAACGCTTTTCCCACGCCTATCGTCTTCACATATGAATTGGTCACGTGTTGCAACTTTGTTTATCAAATGCGCATCAACCTTTTTCATTGCTTAAAACAATATCATTAAATTATGCTAGAAACTTTATGAATTTCTATTAAAAATCAATTATTTTGTACGAAGATAACTTTCTCTCTCAATATCTAAATTCTGTGAGGAATCATCATTGCATTGTGTCTTTACGCCGAAATGTGATCTTCAAGCCAAGACACCAGTAGTTTAAAATTTGCAATATTTATGAGAGAAGTTTGCCCAATATCAGAAATAGATGGTTTGCAGATATAGGAAGTGTGGACAGACGAATCAATACTGCATAGTGACTGTCATTTTCACACCTCCAGCTATCTTCACATCATGTGTCACTATATCTTTAATGAGTTCCATAGCTAAAGTAACCTAAAGTACTAACCCTAAATAAAAGAATTAGAAAGAAACAATTTCTTCCTTCAATGATTTCTCATATATGTATATATATATATATATATATATATATATATATATGAGAATTCGACGTATGAGGGTCAAGCAGATCAGTTCCTAGGAAACCGACAGCCCAACAACAGCACATGAGAATTGATTATAGTCGTGAAGGTTTCGTGCAGGACCATCCACACTTTTTGAAGGGCCGAATACAGAGACCTGGTGCACGACGTGCCACAAGGTCCCCAAACGACCCTCCGCAGGTTTTGAATTCAGAGTTGTCCTTCTCCTCGACCAGTTGCCATCCAAGGCTATAGAACCCAGTCTGCCCTGCTATTTTACCCATAACTGGAGGGAGAAGAAGAGAATTCATAGCTTTCCCAAGGGTATTAGCAAGTGAATGTAATGGATTCGACTGGAATTCGAACTCGGCTCTCCGATTCCTCAATCCAAGCCGCTATCCATTACTCCTACTTTATGTAGTTTATTTTGTTTAAATGTTATTTTTGATGGATATTATATTCGAGTATTTTAATTAAACAGTATTTTTTGTACAACTACATCTACCGGCCAGAATATTCGAGAAATCGCCTCAGAAAAAATATATTTCCCAGGCAGGATTCGACGTCAGTTCTGATGACGGTTCCCCACAGGGGATTCAGGTTCGAATCATCCCAGAGGACGCATATTTTTCTGACAAGATTTCTCGAATATTCAGGCGGGTAGATTTAGTTGGATAAAAAAAATACGGTTTAATTAAAAAAAAACAGAAATTCTACGCGAATATGAGTATCCATAAAAAATTAAAATATGTCGGATTTTCTGGTGGAGTAATAGAGAGAGACCTGGATTGAGGAATCCGCTGCCTTAACAAGGTATTGAACTCACACTCTTTATCCACTGTGACATGTGAAGAACTTTGAGAGGGGAATTAACAAGAGATAACTGATAACTGACACCCATTAAACATGGCACGTGGAACTAGAACAGTCTACCCCAGTGAGCGAAATAAAGGGTTGGGTTCGACATTCCAACCACCTGAAGAAGGCCGGAGCGTACAACGGCCGAAACGTTGTAATAAATATGGCGATAAAGATGAGGACAATAGTCCGAATAATGTAAATAGTGTACATAATACCTCATCTCAGAAATATAGACAGATACTGAAAGGCCGAAACGTTGTAATAAATATGGCGACAAAGACGAGGACAATAGTCCGAATAATTTAAATAGTGTACATAATACCTCATCTCAGAAATATAGACCGATACTGAAAGGCCGAAACGTTGTAATAAATATGGCGACAAAGATGAGGACAATAGTCCAAATAATGTAAATAGTGTACATAATACCTCATCTCAGAAATATAGACAGATACTGAAAGGCCGAAACGTTGTAATAAATATGGCGACAAAGACGAGGACAATAGTCCGAATAATTTAAATAGTGTACATAATACCTCATCTCAGAAATATAGACCGATACTGAAAGGCCGAAACGTTGTAATAAATATGGCGACAAAGATCAGGACAATAGTCCAAATAATGTAAATAGTGTATATAGTACAGGTAATAAATCTGCTGAGTCTTCGGTCTTCAGCAAGAAATTTGGGAGTTCGTTTCTTATCAGAACGATCAGAGTGAATTTCCAAGCTGTCGTACCTTCGTAATCACCATTAGACTCATTTAACTCTTTCCGAATTCTTTGCACTGTCCTCAGAAATGTTCGTATTGGAGTTTCCGGTGCGAATGCCACGCTGTACAGCATACCGTTTCCACCCTGTATATATACTGATATATATATATATATATATATATATATATATGTGTGTGTGTGTGTGTGTGTGTGTGTGTGTGTGTGTGTGTGTGTGTGTGTGTGTGATGGGAAGGTGATTTTAGTTTTGTGATTAAACCCTCTAAAGTTGAATTCCAATGCTCTAATCATTGAGCCATGTTTGTTAGCGTTTACAGTAAAGTTGATTAAGAACTTCAATAAACGCACAGCAGTCAATTTGTAGCAAGAAATCTCGGCGACCCGCCACTTTGGAGAATTGTTTTCCTTAGATATTTCATTTCCAAAAGAGAGAAGATTTTGTTGTTATTATTTTCCAACCTCCGACTGGACTGTTTATATTTGATTAACTAATTTGCTTCGGTGCAGACAGGCAACAGCACGAAAGGAAAGTTAGCCAAAGTGATTAAAATGAAAATAAATTAGGCTTTAAAAAGGAAAGAGAGACGGAAGAAGTGGGAAGTGAATGAATAGATTGAGTGGGTTTGGTCGGGGTCAATTGTCTATAAAACATATTGAGGTGGGTAAAAAAAGAAATAACTAGAGAGAAGACCAAAAAAAGAACAGTTCAGAACACGATTTCCTTAGGGAGAAACAATCAATGCTTGATAAAATGCTTAGAGGCTCATAGATCGAATGTCAAATAGTTTATTGAAAAAAGTCAATTTAAACCAGCAATTTTATCTTTTCTGTTTTATTTCTTTATTTTCATAATAAATGCAAGTTAATTGGAGGACATTTTTAATTGGCCTTTAAGCGGGTATAAATACAAACTTCGTAAAAGGTTGACTTAGTTAAAAAAAAAAAAAAAACAATGAAGAAAGGTAGCAGCAGAGTTGGTTTGTTTTTTCAAGGGTCTGATTTCTGTTCTTTTCTTCTCGACTTTGAATTTCAATAAGTTCTCAATTTAACGGACCCTGATATAATGGGCATTAAACAAATCCTATTTTTAACTATCTATTTTGCAAATATTTATGCCATAGAGAGGAGCTCGAAAAAAGAAACATTGATTTTAATATGTTCGTTTTTTATTACAATGATGGCTAAAACGACCTCCAGTCTGTTGTTAACTGGGGCAAAGAATGGCTTGTTAGTTTTAACGCCTCCAAAACTAAACTTCTCTCCATTAATGAAGTGAAAGACGCATCTCTGATGCTAACCTTCTCGAGCTAACCTTCTCAGCTGATATGAAGTGGAACGACTATATTGAATCCATTACTAGTTCAGCTGCTAAAAGAATTTGTTCAGTGTGTCGTGCAAGACAATTTTTATCTCCAGAATCCATCATACATATATATCAAGTCTACCATTTGTTCATACTTAGAATATTTCTGCCACATATGGTTCGGTGCCTCTGCTATTTACCTTGAGTGCTTTGATAAAAACCCCAAAAGAATCAGCAATATTATTGGTCCTGATCTGGCAGCTCGGCTTCAGTCACTTTCCCACTGCCGTAAGGTTGCCCCCCTATGCCTTTTCTATAAATACTTTCAGGGTAATTGTTCGGGTGAGATCTTCGCTATGGTACCTAGACTTTTTCAATTTAATCGCAGTACTAGACTGGCGTCGAGATCTCATCCATTTACAGTTGTGCTGGCTAGATGTAACCCTAAATTCTATGCTAACAGTTCCTTTTCTCGTACTTCTCGCTTGTGGAACCTTCTTCCGGCTCCACGCTTACCGGCCAACTTTCAAAAATTTTAATGCAATATAAATCGTTATTTACTGCCCTCCTGATTAATCTTTTTTATTCCCGCTCATTAGTAATGTTTCTGTTTCTAATTCTTCCGCAGCTTGTGCCCTAGTGGCTTCACTGCCTTGTATAGGGTGAAAAGGATTAAAAACTAATTCAAAATATGTTTTAAAATGGGATACAAGAATTAATAATTGAAATTAAAACGAGCATGTTAAAAAGAAATAGGCTAGAATAACAAAATGTTTATCGTTACCGTAGAGAGGTAAATCGAAAAACAAAAATGGATGAAACGAAAAAAGCTTATCCTGTTTTCATGCCTTTCTCGTTGGAGATCTGCCGTGGACTGACAAATCTCCACACCAAAAAGAATAAGGACAACAAAAACATATATATATATACTGAATAAATAATAATCAAAAGCCAGTAATATTTAAAGCTAGAAGCTGTACCTTCTGCTTAAAGTGGGAGGGCTGGAAAAGCGTAATATATATAGCATCTAAGACCTTTACGTTGGAGTGAGGAGGCACGTTGGAGTAATGGATAGCGACTTGGACTTGAGGAATCGGATAGCCGAGTAATGAATAGCGACTTGGATTGAGGAATCGGACAGCCGAGTAATGGATAGCGACTTGGACTTGAGGAATCGGAGAGCCGAGTTCGAATTCCAGTCGAATCCATTACATTTATTTACGTGGGTAAAGGTGTGAATCCTCTATTTCTCCTTCCAGCTATAGGTAAATAGCAGGACAGACTGGGTTCTATAGCAACTGGTCTAGGAGAAGGACAACTCTGAATTCAAAGCCGGAGTGGATCCCCTAAGGCGGATGGACGGCACTTTGCGCTACTTTCCGGCAACTCCTGCAGCCGCGCTGGTACCAAACTGTATTGGTTTATCCTCTCCTTTGGACTCTGCTAGCAAGGCCGAGAGGGGGGACTAGACGTCCGGGCAGCCCTAGGTCTCCATATATCCCACCCAGGCTCGTAGCGCACCGCTCTACTCCATCGTCTCTAGAGACGGATGGATGCCGACGACGACGAAGACCTTTAAATGGAAATCTTAATGAGCCTGCTCATTATAGAGAACATTTCTATAGGGTCAGGCACACATTCAGATTTTTGTGAAGTTTCATTTTTCTTTAAAAAATAAGCAATATTTTTAATTATATAAAGTAAAAATTATTTACAAGAACATGATTCTCCATGACAGATTTTAAATAAAATTTGTGTCATCGCTAAAAATGCTAAGAACCAGTCAACTATACTATAAAAAAAAGTGAATAAATATTACATATTTTCTAAAGAATATCATAACTTTGCCGTATTTTAAAATATCCGTATTTAAGTGAATTTGGGTATTAAATGTGACATCTGTTCGCACGTTAAATTCAGGATTTACTGTAATTATAGAAAATTCTGTTTTTGTTTTTTTCGTATATTTCCAATGAAACATGACCCAGTGCACATGTTAGTACTTCGACGTCATTCCTTGCAGACTAACTACAGATTCTCGATTAGATTTAAATCAGGAGAGTTTCCCGGGACAGTCTAGTACTTTGATTTGCTCACTGGTAAGGCTTGCCAGTGTGTTCGTGCAGCGTTACAATTTTCGTACGCTTCCTTGGAGTAACGCCCATCGCAGACAATGGCCGTAGGACAACTAATCGACAGTTGAGACAATAGTGTCCGAGCGTGATAAAAATCTGATGCAGTCACAGATGAAGGAATATTTTTCAAGGCCAAATAAATTTCATCATACACCCCAAATGACCTAATCTGAGGATAAAACAGAAATCGATTACACCCAGTCACTCCAGTGGGTCTAAAACTGACCGTATGGTGAAAGAAAGGAAACTAAAGTGGTCGTTTCAATTAATTTGCACAAGAGTGTATATTAGTTTCTAATTTTTTCTTAAGATCGGACGTCAGTTTTAACTGACGTGCTCTCTTTTTCCATATCTTGTAACAATTTTATTTAAAGTTTGTATTTTCTTGCTTTCAAATGAAAAATAGATAATTTGGCAACATATTTCAGTGAAAATTCCCGTTTCTAAAATTATTGTTTTTTTTATTATAGTTTAACTATATGCAAAAAATAGAGACGACGTCATCTTAAACTTACACCAGGAAGATAAATTTGAATACGCTAAAACAATACCTGAATATGCACTGCTGAAAAGAAGTTACGCCTAATATGTACATGGCGCTAAATATGGTAACTCTGAACTGTTAATTTACATAAACCAACCTTGATATAGCACAAGGTTACACTAGTGAGCTATCCAGTGAGGGCCGGTGCGTACTACCCCCGAAACCCCGACTGGTGTAAACAAACCTGTTTGGGAGACTCGGTCATTGCTTCATGACTCTCGCAATCTTATCAACACTTGCTTTATTCTATCCACATTTATATATGTTAAAAATAAAACGAAGCACAACTGCTGTTGTCAGACAAAAGTTGGTAAGTAAAGGATGAAAAATTCTGGTCTTTTTTTTCTTTGGCCTCCAAAGCCGTGAATTTGTTTTGCTTGTACTAAGGCTCATAAAAACGCTATATAAAATTTACTATTCTATCCGTAATGTTGAATGTGTTAAAATTATTTATTTTTTTTAGCAAAAAAAATCTCCAGTTAATGTTAAAAATGGACGCAAAACATTGCTGATTAAGATGGAATGATCTACTGTCTATATTTCTGATATGAGGTATTATGCACACTATTGTCCTCATCTTTGTCGCCATATTTATTACAACGTTTCGGCCTTTCAGTATCTGTCTATATATCTGAGATGAGGTATTATGTACACTATTTACATTATTCGGACTATTTTCCACATCTTTGTCACCATATTTCTTACAACGTTTCGGCTTTTCAGTATCTGTCTCTATTCCTTTATATATTATGTACATTATTTACATTATTCGGACTATTATCCTCATCTTTGTCGCCATATTTATACAGCCGAAAAAGACGAGGACAATAGTCCAAATAATGTAAGGAATTGTATTTAGATACATTGTATTTATTTTCAATTTTTCTAGTTGAACTATTCATCTATATTGCATATGATTCATTATTTTATATCATTAGAATACAATAAAATCTGGATGTAGTAGAGAGCTGGGTACGTATCATTGATTCTCGGTGCCCGTATCATAGATTCGGTGGTGGCCCACGAGATCCTTGCATCGGCCTTCTATCCAGATTTGGTAGGGGCCACGACATCCTTGCCTCGGCCCTCCATCCAGACAGGTCTCGCGATATTAGCAAGTTGGTGTGTAATAAAAAAAATAAAAACTTGGTAAACATTTAACCCCTGTCGAAGGTTTTTATTATCGTCTTCAGATTTAGTTCCAATCAAATAGAATATTTTTTACAAAACTATTAAAATGTTCAAGAATTCTTCTCACTCACGGAAATCGTTTACTAATCCGTGACGAACCTTGAAAATATTTAAAGCATATCCATCACGAATGAACGAAAACACAAAACGTGACCCTAACATTAATCGATTTGTAAAGATTAAATCAAATGGAGAAAAACACGTTTTTGTATTTACGTCAAATTTGCTATTTTGCCGAAAGAGATGAAAGTTATGCCAATGTGAGTGGGTGTGTATTCTTTTAAAAATGGAATGTGGTTTGTCAATTAAAAGTTTCGAATTTTTCATCGAAAATGTATATTTTCAGTAAAGCGTTTAAAATTCTGTGAAAATGTTTCGAGGTCACACATCTGCGCTTCATGATAAACATTAATAGATATGTAAACCAGTTTGTGCTAATGACCAGTTTATACATCAGCGTCAGGAAATTTCGTGTGGAGCTTTTGGGTGGAGCAGTTGTTTTAATTGAACAAAAGAAAAAAAGAAAGAAACAAACAAACAAATGATAAATAAAATTACATTAGAAAATAACAGAAAGAGAAAAATAAATAAATAAAATAGAAAATAACGAAGGAAAAAAGAAAGAAAAGTAACATGGGGAATAAAAGAGAGAAATAAAGAAAATGGAAAGAAAGAAAGAAAGAAAGAAAAGTAACTTAGAGAATAAAAGAGAGAAATAACAAAATGGAAAGAAAGAAAGAAAGAAAGAAAGAAAAGAAAGAAAGAAAGAAAGAAAGAAAATTAACTTAGAGAAAAAAGAGAAAAAAAACAAAATGGATAGAAAGAAAGAAAGAAAAGTAACTTAGAGAAAAAAGAGAAAAAAAAACAAAATGGAAAGAAAGAAAGAAAGAAAGGAAAGTAACTTAGAGAAAAAAATAGAGAAATAACAAAATGGAAAGAAAGAAAGAAAGAAAGAAAGGAAAGTAACTTAGAGAAAAAAAGAGAGAAATAACAAAATGGAAAGAAAGAAAGAAAGAAAGAAAGAAAGAAAGAAAGAAAGGAAAGTAACTTAGAGAAAAAAAGAGAGAAATAACAAAATGGAAAGAAAGAAAGAAAGAAAGAAAGAAAGAAAGAAAGAAAGGAAAGTAACTTAGAGAAAAAAAGAGAGAAATAACAAAATGGAAAGAAATAAAGAAAGAAAGAAAGAAAGAAAGAAAGAAAGAAAGGAAAGTAACTTAGAGAAAAAAAGAAAGAAATAACAAAATGGAAAGAAAGAAAGAAAGAAAGAAAGAAAGAAAGAAAAGTAACTTAGAGGAAAAAAGAGAAATAAACAAAATAGAAACAAAGAAAAGTATCTTAGAGAAAAAGAGAGAAATAAACTGGAAAGAAAGAAAGAAAGAAAGAAAGGAAAGTAACTTAGAGAAAAAAAGAAAGAAATAACAAAATGGAAAGAAAGAAAGAAAAAGAAGAAAGAATGCATCTTAGAGAATAAAACAAAGAAATAAACAAAATAGAAAGAAAGAAAGAAAAATACAATTAACTTAAAAAATAAAAGAATGAAGTAAATAAGATGGAAAAAAGAAAGAAGTGTAAGAAAATCAGAGAAAGGTGGAAAAAACGACAATGAAAGTGGGAGAGAAGACAAAGAAAAGTATTGATGCAATTTATAAAATATAGGAAAGAAAAGCCTTTTCGTCTTGACTTACATTCCAAACCCTCGAATAACTGCCAGTGAAGAAATAAAACTTAATGAGAATAAAATCGTTTGACATCTTTATTAGCATTTAATGCATTTGTAATAACACAGTAAGAGACTCATTCGGTAGACTAATAGCCGGGAAGTCGCAGTTCACAACCTGCTTCGAGGGAATTCATCTTGCAAACACTGAAACATGAGTAATAAAACCGGTGCTGCAAACCTGTCAACAAATGACAAACCAAAGATTTCGAATTCTGATATTTAAGAAGATGGGCCTTACTCATTTAAAAGGTAGGTACAACCAGATCTTCTCACCAACCATTCGGCTTTTTATGTCATGGTGAGAAAACTGCAGGAACTGCTACAGAAGGAAGATGAGAAGAATGGACTAAGTATGAATTCTAAGAAGACAGAATCCATGGTTGTTAGCAAAAGGGACTGCCCTTGATGCAAATTGCGAATTGGAGACGCCGAAAGTCAAACAAGTACGAACATTTAAATATCTGGGAAGAAAATATCAGAAGAAAAAAATAAATGAATAAAATTGACAATAACGAAGGAAAAAAGAAAGAAAGAAAGAAAGAAAAAGAAACTTAGAGAATAAAAGAGAGAAATAAGCAAAATAGAAAGAAAGAAAGAAAAAAGAAAGAAAGAAAAGTAACTCAGGGAATAAAAGAGACAAAATGGAAAAAAGAAAGAAAGAAAGAAAGCAAGAAAAAAAGAAAGAAAGAATGAATGCATCTTGCAATCCACCGAAGGCCGAAGATGCACTGGAATGGCGAAAGATGTTCTCCAAGATTTGAACAAAGTATTAAGAAACAAAAAATCCAAAGTTCGAATATAAATATCGTAAATATTATCTGGGAAGTGTTATGATAAACGACTGAAAATATGACCCAGAATGTCGAAGGCTTCTAGGAAGAGAGAAAGATGTCTTCCAAAAATAGCAAAGTATTAAGGAAAAGGAATGTGCCGTTAGAAGTAAAGAAAAGATTGCTGATCTATTATGTAATATCTGGGGCATCTTGGTGTGGTGTAATGGTTAACAAGTTTGTATCGCTAAAACAGTTACAACTGAATTGTGAGTTCAATTCTCACTGAGTACTCCATACTTTCGGCCTTGTGACACATCTAAACTATGCTTAGAAAATCAATATTATGTAATATCAGTCTGTCTATATTGGCAGTGATTGCTAGAAAATCTCGCAGATGTCGATGAAACTTGGGACAAGAGAAATTTGGTTTACAGAAGGATTCTGAGAATACCATTGATGGGACATGGAAGTAATGAGAAAGTTTAAAGGAAAATGAAAACAAAAAGGAGCCTTTACGCGTAAAATCAGAAAGAAGGTTGAAATTTCTAGGACATATAGGGATCGGCAGAAATACCTCCTATGTATTAGTAAGAGATGAACTAGATGCTATTACACCATTGCCACCAATGTCTAACCATTATGTGGTGGTATTTATTTGGGCGGTATTTCTGGGTGCTATATTTGAGATGCATTTCTGGTTGGTATTTCTGGGTGCTATATTTGAGATGCATTTCTGGGTGGTATTTCTGGGTGCTATATTTGGGAGGTATTTCTGGGTGGTGGGAGGTATTTCTGGGTGCTATATTTGGGAGGGATATTTCAGATGTATTTCTGGGTGCTATATTTGGGAGATATTTCTGGGCACAATAATTGCGAGGTATTTCTGCTGCACCCTGTGTAATGAGAAAAATAGATTGAGGACTTAAAGGACATGTTGGAAGCAAAACGAACATCGGAATGCAGTGCACAACAAGATTGTGTAAAATGGACGGCAGAATCGGGACAAGGAAGGAAACAGACAAGTTGCGATGGATAAATTGTCGTCTGAATTACGTAAATGTAGATAGATAAAAAATGGGATAGATAGATAGATAGATAGATAGATAGATAGATAGATAGATAGATAGATAGATAGATAGATAGATAGATAAGAAGGAAGAAACAGGCTGAGATAAAAAGAGATAGATGAATAGAAAGAAATAAATATTGAGAATAACAGACAGACGGGCAGATAGATAGATAGATAGATAGATAGATAGATAACAAAATGGAATAGATAGATAGATAGATAGATAGATAAGAAGGAAGAAACAGACTGAGATAAAAAGAGATAGATGAATAGAAAGAAAGAAACATTGAGAATAACAGACAGACAGATAGATAGATAGATAGATAGATAGATAGATAGATAGATAGATAGATAGATGGATAGATAGATAGATACATAGATAAGAAGGAAGAAACAGGCTGAGATAAAAAGAGATAGATGAATAGAAAGAAAGAAACATTGAGAATAACAGACAGACGGGCAGATAGATAGATAGATAACAAAATGGAATAGATAGATAGATAGATAGATAGATAGATAGATAGATAGATTATTCCAGGCTCTTCTCGATGAAAATATTTTATTTATCTTTAATTTGCTTTTATTTTCATTCGTTTTATTATATTTTAAGTTACTATTTCATTTTCTAAATGCAGACATTAATTTTTAAAAGCTAAATGCATGATTGATTTTCTCATGGTTTTAATTAGTTTGTTTTCTATTCATAATCAGATATTTTTTTATTTTTTTTTTATTTTCGCCTTCTTCTTTAATATTGTCACCATTTTATCTTCTTACCTTTCTCTTTTCCCTCTCTCTTTCCCGTCTTCATCATTGTCTTCCTCATCATCGACACTTGCTCATTGTTTTCTTTTTCTCTCCCCTCTTTCTCCCCCCCCTCTCCCCCTCTCTCTCTCTCTCTCTCTCCTCTGTCTTCGTCTTTTATTCTTTATAATCGTCTTCCCTTTCTTATTTTCTTTTACGTCTCCCTCTCTTCCTCTCCCCTTTCTGCGCATTTATGACTATCTTATTTTTTGTCTCTTCGCCTCCTTTCCCTCCTTGTTTATTCTTTCTCGTCTTCCTTGTTTTCACCTCCTCCTCCTCCTCTAGCTCATTCTCTTTTTTCTTTCTTTGTCTTCAGTTTTCTTTTCTTCTCACGTTTTATTCACTTTCTCCTCTCTCCTTTAGCGTCCTCTTCTTCGTCACTCTCTTTGTTGTATTAACCTCCTCCTATTCCTCATTCCTCCGCATTTTCGTTGTATTTTCCTTCTTTTTCTTCCAAACATTATTTTCGAGATTTTTTTTTCCGTTTTCTTTGATTTCCCAACATTCTGTCGTTTTCTCGACATCCACATATTTTTTTTCTCTTCGAATTCTTTCACCTTCTCCACATTCCCCACCTATCCTCTTAATTTTCGAGATGTCTCTTATTCATAGATAGATAGATAACAAAATGGAATAGCTACCTAGCTAGGTAGACAAACACACGACAATCAGCAAGTGATTGATTTTGGCTCAGCCTATAATTTTTCCACGCACACACACACACATATGTGTGTATATATATATATATATATATATATATATAACAAATTCAATCGCCAGGCCATGACATTTATTTCTGATATCTTGAACTTTAACCTATAATTATGTCATAACTTAAAACTATATATATATATATATATATATATATATATATATATATATATATATATATATATATATATATATATATATATATATATATATATATATATATATATATATATATATATATATATATATATATATATATATATATATATATATAACGTCACACATTATGAAATGGACAAAATCCGACAAGAGTTCTTTTATAGCAAAGTCGGTAAAGGCACGTCAAAGTAAATGACGGTTCCGTATAGGATACGGGTTCAAATCCTGTCGGAGGACGGATATTTTCAGGTGAAAATTTCTCGGACATTCAGGCCGGTAAATGTTGTTTAATACTGTTTATTATAAATAGCATTTACTTAAATATTTTATCGATAAAAAGAATGTATAAACATAAAAATGTCTCTCTCTATATATATATATGTGTGTCTGTGCATGCGTGCCTATGTGGATTTATTTTCTTTACTCTTTAATTGGATTCTTTTTGCCACTTAATTTTTATTTTTATTTAATTTATTGTTTAAAATAGACAAAATACAATTCCGTTAATTGACTACAAAAATAATTTTGACTCAAGAAGGAAAAGGTCGTGTAGAACAGAAGCGAAAAGCTTTAGTCGGTGAAATAAAAGCTATGTCTTTATTTTTAAATTTGGCTTTTTTTAGACCCCGACTTGCTTAATTGCGACTGAAACACGCAGTAAAATGTTGATATTTTAAAATGAAAAGTTTTTTCACGTATCAAAATATTCACTTCATTTATTTATGACATCATCGTCAGTACAACTATGGTTATATTGAATTTCCTTAAAATATACGAAGAATTTGAACAGACTGAGATAGGCAGATTTCAACAGACTGAGATAGATAGATAGATAGATAGATAGATAGATAGATAGATAGATAGATAGATAGATTATTGTGAGATATTAAATTCTTTGTGAAATGAATGAATACTGATCAGTGTATATATCTAAAGAAACAGCTCTTACTATATATATATATATATATATATATATATATATATATATATATATATATATATACAGGTGTCCATAGAGTTCGTGTGCACTTTAAAAAAATTTATACCTTTATTTGTATTTGCGATAGAAATAATTTGTAAAAAGGATTAGAAAGAAGTAAATCTAAGTTTCCACATGTCCTCCATCATTAGCAATACAAAGGGTAATACGATTTTGCAGTTCATGGAAAACATTTGCCATCTGATTTACAGTAATGCCTGAAATCACATTAGTTATTTTAGCTATACTTAAAACTAGGTACATTAAACTTTATAACATTGTTTACAGATTGTTTTTATCGCAAATACAAATAGAGTTATAATTTTTTAAAGTGCACACGAACTTCATGGACACCCTGTATATATTTATGTATTTAAAGAGCTGATTCGATATATATATATATATATATATATATATATATATATATATATATATATATATATATATATAATAGCTGGTCACGTATTCGAGGATACCTGTGTACTAGGGCGGCTAGCCTATCCCTATTGCAGACTCTCGCTCTGGCACTTTTGTGTTTGTTCAACACCCAGAGAGCCAACCTGTGGTTTATACTGCAAATATGTTGGGACCTTAGTTTCTGGGAGAGAGCGTGTTATCTAGAATGATCAACAATCTGAACAACACCGGTACGCTCAAAATCTCGATCCCAACTATGGACGGTCCACAAGAGTTCCGTCTACTCAAAAGGCTTGGATCAACCCGTGGCATGGTTTTCAGGAACTTTCCAAAGGTGCCCCATGCTGGGATCGTCCCCACTCCAGACCGATAACATCAGGAAGACTCCTTCCTGTCAACTCGACCATGGTGAGATTCGAACCCTGGTCTCATGGTCAGAAAGCGAATGTTCTAACCCCTTGGGTCACACACACAGAGAGAGAGAGAGAGAGAGTATAATAACCCTAATACTTATTAAACACTATTAGGTTAATAGATAAAATGGAATCACGATGAGTAAAATGTTAAAGTTTGTTCTTTTTTTGAAAAAAAAATCCTTTTAAATAATGTATTGCTCATGTGTAGATCTTTTGTAGGACTTTTAAAGATTACCCACCACCTCCTGGTCTGTAAAACGCCAGCTAGGAGTTGCTCTCTTATCCTTTTATCGTCCTAAACAGCGCCACCTATCGAGCGTCTTGGTAGACCAGGTGGTGGTAATTCTCACAGACAATTAGTGGAGTGGTGTTTGTGATAACAGTTGACACAACCAGAAGATAAAGTATTTTCTATGAGTTAGTCCATATTGTTTTAACCCAGCTAGGGAACAGTAAGGTCATCGACTACTTTTATTTTCGCATTTTTTTTCTTTCAGTATAATTTCCCATCACTTCCTTCATTAGATGGGAAATAGGCGTATACAAATAAAGAAACGTCTCCTCTTCTTCTTGCCGGCCTCCTTCAGGATGTGGGCGATCAAGGTCCTCCACAATTCCCTGCCATTTATAGGTCTTTGTAAAGTTTATCTATTTTCGTAATCCCTGCTCTGCCAACCATTTACATAAGCTCTCTAGGTAGGTTATTTGCTGCTTTCCTCTGCCCCTCTTCCTTTCAATATGTCTTGTGAGTGTCAAATTTTCTAAGCACTCTGTCCTCATCATATGTCCTAGAAATTTCAATAAAAATGGGTTTGATTGGTGCACAAATGACTGCAATCGCAGTAAGAAAAAAACAAAACAAAAGATGGAGTGATGAGATAGAGGGTATTTCTGTTTAGCACTTGGCAAAAAATAGCACAGTCTCGGTCGTCATGGGCGGATTTGCGAAAGACTTTTTTCTTGCAATTAAAAAGTACTTGTTGACGATGATTAAGATATATATCTCAATTTTTTATGTTTACACATTCTTTTTTTATAGTTATAAATATTTAAGTAAATGTTCTGTTTATAATAAACAGTATTAACAACATTTACTGGCCTGAATGTCCGAGAAGCTCTCATAGAAAATACGCGTCTTCCAACAGGAATCGAACATGTATCTTATACGGAACTGTCATATAGCCTGACGTGCCTTAACCGATCGAGCCACGGAGGATCGTTCGATTAGCAAGGTCCATTTTACTGCTTTTAAACTTCAATCTTCCATGAATCTCTCATGTACATTCATATCTACTCAAAGCGTATCCAAATGTAAACAAATGACGTCACACATCATGAAATGGACAATTATTTTTATGTTTATATATCTCAGATCAATTATTTTTATGTTTATATATCTCAAATTGTTAGTATCTATCTATCTGAGTCCGTTCATATGTATCTGGGTATAGAAAAGTAACATTTGATAAACAAGGTCTTTTTTAAGGTGGGGGCCCGAGCGCGTACACCCCGGTTGGGAACAAAAATTGCCCGCAGCCTCAGCAACAATCGGTTGCGCTGGCCTCGGTGCGAGCACGGATCTCTCTCTCTCTGGTGCAATGAGAGTGCGCTGCCCCGAGCAGCTGTTCCCTAGAGCACCTCTCGGTATAATTTTCCTCAGTTACGACTCTGTTCTTTGATGGGGTCGCCCCTGAGTGCACTCTGCCCAAAGACAGAGACGCAACTGAGAGATGATAAATAATGTTATAAACCACTCATGAGAATTTTAATTCGCTATATGTTAACTCTGTCCTTCAATTACACAAGCTTGTTAGATAGGTTACTTGCTGCATTCCTTTAACCCTTTTACCTTCAATATATCCTGTGAGTATCAAATTCTCCAAGTCCCCTTTCCTCGTTATGCGCCCTAAGTATAAGTGTCCTTTTTCTCTAAAACTTCTTCGTCGCTCACGTATTCAGTTCTGGCTATTTTCAGTATCCTTCCCATTTATGTTGCTTCAAGTCTCTTCTTCATCTTTTTTTTTAATTCTATCTAGATTTTCCTGTTTCTTAATACATTTGTTTCGCTTTTAGAAAGCATCTTTCGTTATCCCGATGTGTTTTCGGATTTCGGTGCCGTGCTTCCGAGATATTTAAATTTTTGTACCTCCATTTTTGACATCTCCACTTTGTAATTAGCATGTTGGACTTTTCTTTTTTGCTGTCAACAATACATTCTCGTGTCCTGGGTAAGACGTTAAATTACATCCGCGTCCTGGGTAAGACGTTAAACTACGTCCAGCAACAAGGGCTCTGATCAGGAGGTTTTGAGGAGCGTGGAACCACCTCTTAATTGTTGGTGTTCCCGGGTCCACCCTGATCCAGGGTGGTAGCACCTGTTAGGGTTCCAGCTCTGGGCAAATAGTTAACTATTACCAGCAATACATTTTTGAAAAAAATTATTACCAGCAATACAATTTTGAAGGAAATATATTACCAGAAACAGATTTTAGACAAAACAAAATATTGCCAGCAATAAAAATTTTTGTCAGCATTAAATAACCCATTGAGGTTGATATGCCATAAAACAAAATAAACCAAACCAATCTAAAGCAAAGAATACATATTCTATTCATACGAATCTATCCTAAAATGTTGTCGGCATTAAATAACATATTGAGGTTGATATGCCGTAAATCAAAATAAACCAAACCAATCTAAACCAAAGAATACATATTCTATTCATACGAATCTCCCCTAAAAATGTTGTCGGCATTAAATAACCCATTGAGGTTGATATGCCGTAAAACAAAATAAACCAAGCCAACCTAAACCAAAGAATACATATTCTATTCATACGAATCTATCCTAAAAATGTTGTCGGCATTAAATAACCCATTGAGGTTGATATGACGTAAAACAAAATAAACCAAACCAATCTAAACCAAAGAATAC